TTGCGGGGAGGGTCTGATCTCTGATCTGGCTCCTAAATGATTCCAGGGTTACCTCTTTAGAGATGATAAAGTAGCAATGAAGGGCTATTAAGAGAAAACTTCTGGTCAAGGAATAGAACCCTGGCCTGGGTGGAGACTTAACTTTCCAGTTGGGGAAGGTCTATTGCCTGACCAAGGGGCCACTTATACAAAGGCAGGCTCTCCTTAAACATGCTAAAGAGGTAGATGAGGTAATTAATCCCGGCATTCAGGTCTGCTCCAGGGGATCATGGAATGTGCTTTCACCAAATAAGTTCTTGTCACTTAATGTTACCACAGACATCAGAAAGTGGGCACATGCTGGCTAAGTTCAAAGGGGGTAAAAAATGAAAATGTATAACGACGAGAAGGAAATTATGAGAAAGTTTTCTTTTTTCTTTCAAAGATGGCTAGCCTGACAAGAACCAAGATTTCATAAACCTCCCCCACCTTGTACACCTTCAGGTAAATCTTTTTTTTTTTTTTTTTTTTTTTTTTTTTTTTTTTTTTTTTTTTTTTTTTTTTTGGTTTTTTGAGACAGGGTTTCTCTGTGTAGCTTTGCGCCTTTCCTGGAACTCACTTGGTAGTCCAGGCTGGCCTCGAACTCACAGAGATCCGCCTGGCTCTGCCTCCCGAGTGCTGGGATTAAAGGCGTGCGCCACCACCGCCCGGCCAGGTAAATCTTTTAATCTTCCCCATCTGGTGAAACTCGGATGATGCAAGGATCCTACAGCTTCCTCGGAACTTGATGACTTGGAGGGGCGGATCCTTTCCCCTTTCCCTCTCCTTTGCGCTGCTGTCCAAATAACCAATCGGGAGCGGACTGTGAGGTTGCACCTCAGCCAATGAGGGACCATCGAGCTCCTCCTGGCCTTAAGTTCTTCTGGACGAGGCAGACTTGACTCTTGACCGAGAGGGTGGCCTTGGGAAGAGCAAAGACACCCATCCAGGAAGTGCATTTGGTTTTTCAGTCTACCTCAGGTGATGGTGATGTCTTTTCCCATTGGCGAGGGTCCACAATCTTTTCAACTGGCTAGTCTGAAAAGAATTCTTACACAGGAAATGAAGGAGGAGGGGGCATTGCTCCAAGGAGAAAAGAGCCACTGCTCCAGGTCACCAAATTTCTAGAATAGGGCAATGGGCCTTTGTGAAAATATAGGTTTTACAGGGTGGTACCATCAAAACGTAAAAGATGAGAGAAAGCCTGTCTCAAAACAACAACAGAACCACTAAAAGGTGGGGAGATAAAACAGTCCTCATTCCTGGTCCTAAACACAAGTTTTGTAATACTTGACAGAAAAGTAGTTTTTCCTACAGGAATGTAAGAGAGAAGCCATTTTGGCCACCATGGGTGCTGCCTGCTAGCCTGGTTAAACATGGCACAGCCTTTTGGGGGGAAAGAAATGCTTTGTCAGGTTAACCTTGCTTTGTTTGGGTGTTTCTTTGTATGACACCAAGAACATTCTTTTCCAACATTGAGCTGGGAGAGCATTATGAGGGGCGGCAGGTCATACCTGTGGCAGCGTGGCTGAGCATGAGGTGGGAGAGCAACATGGAAAGTGAGAAAGTCAGCTTAGGGTGGTTAAGGCTCTTGCCACCAAGACCGGTGACCTAAGTTTGAATTCCAGAATCCGCATGGTAGAGCGAGAACTGACTCCTTCGGGTGGTCCTCTGACCTCCACTCATGTACCGTGGTGTGAGCTTGCACGCGCGCACACACATACACACACACACACACACACACAGAGTAAAATGTAATTCAAGAGTAAGAATGCTAGTGTAAAGTGAAAGAGCTGCTGTGGACAATAGGGCAGGAAGCTGAAGAGGGAGGCGTTGCGGGGTGGAGAGTGTGTGAGAGTGAGCCAGCCAGGGAGACAGAAGCTGACAGAGTGTGACAAACAGAAGCCCTTTACTTTTATGAGGTTTCTACCCGGGGTGGGGAGCCTGGTTATAGCGCAACAGCAGTCTTGGGGTGGGCTGTGAGCAGTAGAGATAAGGAGACACATTTGCTAACAAATCCCTCTTACATTCTTAGGTGACAGGGACCAGAGCAGTAACAGGTTTTGTCTCAAGGGACAGGCCAGAAAGGGGTGGGAGGGAGGCCTATCTGGTCTTAAAGCAACAGGCCCGCCCGTGATCCACTGACTAAGTCCTGTAGACCTCCTGTGGTCTCTGTATTGGCTGCCCCCACACTTCTCAAGGGTCACCTTCCGCAGGTTTTTCAGGGTAGAGTTTAAAGCTCACCTAGGAAGCCCACCTTCATCCAGCTGGTGAAAGGCCCCTCCGACGGAGCCCTGTGTAACCTCTGCGCCTGCAAGCTCCTCATTCTGTGCCCACCTCTCACCTGCAACTTTCTCTTTGGGGTTCATCCTGGCAACCCCTAATTGCCCTGCCTAATTCCTGTCTTCTTTTTCTTGTGATCCCAGGAAAATCACCGCCTCTTTCTGAGCCCATTTCCATTCCTGTAAGTGGGGAATATTTGTCCCCCAATTCCTGAGTGACCCCTCTGAGCTAGGTAGCAGCTGGAACTGCTCAGTCCTCTCCTATTTATGTGACTCAGATGCTGCCGGTTAAGCAAATACATAGCATCAGGTGGTGGTCCTGGGCAAGTGCTGGGGAGGGTCGGGGGTGCAGGAGGTCTCTGGAGAGGTGAGGACATCAGCCTCCAGCCCGTGGTGGGGACACCTTACATGCACTCTCCAGGGCTATCTCCTTCCCCTGATCTTTGAGGCTCTTCCTCCTTCTGGCTTCCAGAGGTCTGGATGATCCCAGCACTCTCAGACTTCTTGCCTGTCCACACTAACTCGGGTGGCTTCAGCCAATCTTGAGGTTTTCAACAGAATTGCTGAGATTCCTTCCAAATTATCATCCCCAGGCCCCTTGTCCCCCATTCCACTCCTGCCATTGCCGTTGTGGAAACAAGCTCCCTGTTTCCCACGCATCCATTGCTCAGTAGGCTTATCACCACGAGACTCCACTATCGCTTTCAGTGGGTGTAAAAAACCCTTTCCCTCCGGGACGAAACTTCCCCAGATGTGTGTCTGGCAGACTACTGCAGAAAGGGGCCAGGAAACTGCCATTTCCAGCTGCCCCAACCTTCACTCTGCCCCGCACGCCCACCTCTGCCTGCTGCTGGAGGGGCATGGCAGGAACCTCGGTGCCATCCTTATCTTTGTGCAGGACAAGGTCCCCACCTGCAGCCACCACCAGCCACTTTAGAGGTTGTCGGGTTCACTCGGCCTGAAGCTTTGGGAATATACAAGGCTTTTTTTTTTTTTTTTTAATTTGTTGCTTTTCTGAGAAAGGGCCTTGCTGTGTTGCCCACACTTAGCCTCCTGTCTCAGCTTCCCTAGATGCTGGGATTACCGGCCTGTGGCACCACTCTTGGCAACAAAGCCCTTCTTCAAGCAAAAGAATTCAACCTGAAGAATACAAGACAAGCTGCCAAGAAGGTGAGGTCAGGGTGGAACCCTGAGGGGAAGACGGTCTAAGCCACTGCAGTGGAAATAGTGTACGGGCACAGCAGCCAGGCTCAACAGGGCACTCCTGTAATCCAGCACTCCAGCAGCCTAGAGGCCGAGATGGCGGTCACCTGTTCTAGGACAGCTTGGGGTTTGTAGTCAGAACCTGGCCCCCATCCCTCCCCCAAAAGGCTTACAGGTATTCAGGATGCGCCCCCATGCTGAGTCATTTGGGCTCTGCTTCAGTTTCTTCTCATGGAAAGTGGGCTTCATGATTCTGCAGAAGATGCTTGCTGGAAAGGAGTGAGTTACCACACCCGGAACATGCGTCTAGAAAGGGCACAGTGAACCTGAGCCGTGACTGCGGCTTCTCGGGTCACTTCCTCCTCTCAAAGTGGGTTCTTCTCAAACAGACCCTGGGACCGGAATTTGGGTGCAAGGAGTTTCTTGGGGAAGTGGCCCTAGGGAGCCAGTGAAGACCAAGGGAACCAGGCAGGAAGGGGGTGGGGGCTGAACACTGAAGTGAGACTAGTCCCTGCTATCAGCCTGGCACTGGAGCACGCTGAGACCATCACTCAGGACTGCCCCTAGCAGAAGAGTGAGTGAGGGAGCAGCCCAGGCCTTTGCCTTTCACCTGGGCTGAGTACTCTGCAGCCAGAGGAAACTGTGCTGAAGCCTGCAAAGCAAGACAGGGCACTCAGTTAAATTACAAATCAGTAAAGTTTGTTTTCTGTGGGTTTTTTGTTTGTTTTGTTTTGTTAATGAGCAAGAACATTCCAGAAATTTGGCACATACTTACATTAAAAACTATATATTTGCCGGGCGGTGGTGGTGCACGCCTTTAATCCCAGCACTCGGGAGGCAGAGGCAGGTGAATCTCTGAGAGTTGGAGGCCAGCCTGGTCTACAGAGCAAGATCCAGGACAGGCACCAAAGCTACACAGAGAAACCCTGTCTCACAAAAAAAAAAAAAAGACAAAACAAAAACTATCCATTGTTTGTGTGAAAACAAGTTTCATTGGATTTCTTTGCTTTTGAGGTGGGATGGACAAGAAACATTGTTAGCTCGCAGCTGGCAGCTGGACTGGAGCTGTGAATTGGGAGCCTGGTCCCCACATGGGTGTTTCTGCCTTGCCTCTCAGATGTGCACCTCCCAAATTGGCATCTCTTTCCAGAAGCTGCTGATTGTCTTGAGGTGTGTGTGTGTGTGTGTGTGTGTGTGTGTGTGTGTGTGTGTGTGTGTGTGTGTGTTTTAATTGTTGTTGTTTGCTTGTTATTAGGTTTACCCCAGGCTGGTCTCACTGTATCTATGTGGCCCAGGATGAAATCCTGACCCCTCCTCCCTGCCTCTACTGACCAATTGCTGTGAATATGAGTTCCTTCAGCCATTGCCTGGCTCTCTTGAGACTTTTAGAGGTTCCTGTTACTCTAAATAGACACAAGAACGGCCAGCAGGGATTCTAGGGGAAGTATAATTAGTTTCACTTCCTCAGACTCTGGACCTGGAATGTCTCCCCAAAGCCACATGCGGAAGGTTTCCAGACTATAGTGCTATTGGGAGGTTTAGAACCTTTAAGAAATGGGCCCATTGCCGGGCGGTGGTGGCGCACGCCTTTAATCCCAGCACTCGGGAGGCAGAGGCAGGCGGATCTCTGTGAGTTCGTGGCCAACCTGGTCTACAAAGCCAGTTCCAGGACAGGCTCCAAAGCTACACAGAGAAACCCTGTCCCTGGCTTCTACCTACTTTTCAACGAGGAGGGAGAGGAGGGGTGAGGAAGAGGAGGAGGAAGAAGAGGAAAAAGAAGAAACCATTGTAAAAGTAAGGGTAATGTTCTGTGGAATTTCGTTTCTTTTATAGGAGTCCCTTTTGTTTGCTTTGTTCGAAACAGGGTCTCACCATGGAGCCATGGCTCATCTTTATGAGCATTTGAATTAGAATTTAGGTCCTGGAAAACTGCCACCTTTGATTGGGGTGCAGTCCAGTGGCAGAGGCTTGACTCCCAAAACCAAACCAAACCTGCCGTCTGACCGGTTGCCTTTCTCGCTTAGGAAGAGAGCAAGCGTCCAGGGCTCTGCCGCCAGGCTCCTTCAGCGTCTGGCATCGTTCTTGGTTGGCAGAGCTTGTTTGTATTGTTACTTCAGTGAACTTGTCCCATCAGAGCCCCTCTTTTTAATAGATCCATTCATACTTTGTTTTAAATCAGCTAATGGTAGAACAATTTAGGAGTTCCGGGGGTGGAAAATTCCTGAGCGGCGGGAACCGCAAGACAGAGGCGCCCTCAGCTGGCCGTGCCCGGCCCACTTCCCTCACGACCGCGCCCTGCGGGCTGGGGCTGGGGGTGCTGAGATGGGGGAGTGCTGAGAAGGAGGCTGGGGAGCTCCGGGGCTGAAACGCTGCGGGGATAGGAGCTAGGGCGTTGGGCAGTCGGGAACTGGGGGCCTAGGGGGCAGAGAAACTGGAGGTGATGGCCACCTGTTCGGGGTTTAGGGAGCTGGGGGGTTGGGGGGGGAAGCTGGGGCTTGGTTCTGCTGAGGAGCTGAGTCCGCGGAGCTTGAGGGCTGGGCCTGTGGGAGGAAAACACACACACACACACACACACACACACACACACACACACACACACACACACACACGCTGGCTGGGCCTGTGGGAGGAAAACACACACACACACACACACACACACACACACACACACACACACACACACACACACACACACACGCTGTCTGCAGCCACCCCCACACTTTCTGATCTCTGCGTCTGAGGAAACCAGGCCTGGGTGGCCAAGTGCCTGCGTTGGGCTGCGTCTTGGTGGCCTGGGCATCCGGAGCTGCCGCAGGAGGGAGGTCTGGAGTGTCTGAAGGTGCCTGCCGCAAGAGGGCAGAAGGGCGATGGTGATGTTTGCACGTTGCTGAGAAAGCGCTCGGCCGCCACCACCACCCCCACTCCCCTACCCCCCACCCCCGGGATCCCGTGCGCAGGCGGCTTCCCACCGCACTCCTGCAGGGTGGAACAGTCCGATGTGGACTAAGAACAGCGTACCCTAGCAAGCCTAGTTCCGAGACTGTGAAGAAACCGGGCTCTTTACCTAGTGAAAGGAACTTAAGGAATTTTCATTTAAGCCGGTACTTGATGAAGGTGATGTAATGGGGGATGAACGGATTGGAAGGAGGGTTGGGCCGAAAGAAAAAAGCAAATGGAAAGCAGGGTGCTCGAACTTTCTAACGTTTGTACAGTCTTGGGTTCCAGTCCCAGGACTGTTTCTGTTTTTGGAAACAGGTTTGGTTTTTTTTTTTCCCCTGTGTAACAGCCCTGTCTGTCCTGGAACTCGCTTTGTAGACCAGAGATCCTCCTGCCTCTGCTTCCCAAGTGTTGGGATTGAAATGCATTTAGCAAAAAGAAGCCAGGCTGGAGAGATGGCTCAGTGAGATTGCGTGGTGAGGAAAGGCACCTGCTGCCAAGCCTGATGACCTAAGCTTCATTCCTCGGATCCATACCATAGAAGGAGAAAACGGACTCTAGGGTGTGTGACATCCCCACCACACACACACACACACACACACACACACACACACACACACACACACACACACACACTAGATGGATGGAAAGGGAGAGAGGGAGAGGGGGAGGGGGAGAGGGAGAGGGAGAGTATTAGAGAGCCAGGTGTGGTGGCACACCTTTAATCCCAGCACTCAGCAGACTGGACTCGCCAGCCTGGTCTATATAGAGTGACCCTGTCTCAAAACAAACAAGAAGAAATAACGTGGAAAAAGAAAAAGTCATCTGTTCTCACCCTCTACAGGAGGTTGTCTTTTTCTCAGAGTACACTCACACATGCACATACAAATACACAAATATCTACCCTAAAAATTTAGGGGTGCAAGCAGTGTCACATAACTTTATTAGAATTGGTTAATAAATTCTGTTTGCATGGTGTGTGTGTGTGTGTGTGTGTGTGTGTGTGTGTGTGTGTGTGTGTGAACGTGGAGGCCAGAGGTCAACGGTGGGTGTTTTCCTCAGTCACTCTATGTACCAGGTTTTTTCTTTTGGCCACCAACCAGCTCCCAAATCATGACACGGAGACTCAGGCTCGTTTCCGGCTAGCTCTTTTAGCTTAAATTAATCTGTTTTTCTTTCTTTATTTTTTTAAAAGATTTATTTATTGTGTATTATGTATACAGTGTTCTGCCTGTGTACCAGATCGCGTTACAGATGGTTGTGAGCCACCATGTGGTTGCTGGGAATTGAACTCAGGGCCTCTGGAAGAGCAGCCAATGCTCTTAACCGCTGAGCCATCTCTCCAGCCCCTGTTTTTCTTTATCTACCTTTTGCCTCAGGGCTTTTTACGTTTCTTTCCTTCCGTCGATCCTACTTTCATTGCTTCTCTTGCCTGCTGGCTGGGGCTGGCAGCTGCCTGGCTTCTTATGGGGTGGGGGTATGTGGGGGCTCATTCTCTCCTCCGTCTCTCCTTCTGAAGCCTAGATTTCTCCTCTTATTTATTCTCTCTGCCTGCCAGCCCTGCCTATCCTTTCTTTGCCTAATTATTAGCCATTCATCTTTTTAGTAGACCAATCAGATGCTTTAGGCAGGCAAGATAAAACAAATGCAACACGTCTTTACATAATTAAACACACATCCTTACATCATTAAACAAATGCAGCATAAACAAATGTAATACATCTTTGCCCAGTTAAAATAATATCCCATAACAGCTCTCCACCTTATTTTTTAATTTATTATTATTATTATTGTTGTTGTTGTTGTTTTTCAAGACAGGGTATCTCTGTATAGCTTTGGTGTCTGTCATGGATCTCGCTCTGTAGACCAGGCTGGCCTCGAACTCACAGAGATCCGCCTGGCTCTGCCTCCCCAGTGCTGGGATTAGAGGCATGTGCCACCACTGCCTGACCACATTACTGATCTTTTTAAATAAATACGTGACAACAGGGGCTGGAGAGGTGGCTCAGTGGTTCAGAGGACCTGGGTTCAGTTTCTTGCACCCACATTGTGGCTCACAACCACCTGTAACTCTAGTTCCAAGGGGCCCAGTGCCCGCTTCTGGCTTCTTCAGGCACCAGGCATGTGTGTGGTACACATACATACATGCAGGCAAACATTCACACACAAAATAAACTGAAAGGAGCAGGCAAAAGCACCTTGGCCTGAGTACTGCCATTTTGACTTCAGTCTCCATTTACCTGTAGTGTGAAATAAAGTTCAGGTTCCCAAGCCCTAGGGGAGCTGAGAACTTCCCAATGTCTGACCAACCTCCTCCCTAAAACATAGAAATAGTCATTATGCCTCTTTAGTTCTCCAGAAACATTATGGCTGTTACTTTTTTTCTTAAGTTTTGTTGATTCTGTGTGGATTTCACATCATGTATTCTGATCCCATTTGTCTCCCTGTCCCCTCAAATCTGTCCTCTTCCCTTGCAACCTCTCCCCAAAAACAAATTCAAATTTAAATGAAAAACCAAAAACCAAACACAACAAAGAAACAAAACAAAATGAAAATTAAAAAAAAAAAAAAAAAGAACCTTGCTGTGGTAACTGTAGTTTGACTCATTGAGACACATAGTTTATACCCTTTAGTCTGTTCATCTTTACTTGCAAGTGTTCATTACCACGAGTCATAGGTCTGGCTCAAGGCCTCTGGTTTCTGCTACACCACGGATAATGGGCTCTCACTGGGGCTCCTCTTGGATATCCTGCTGTTGACCTGTGTCATGGATTTATAGGCTCTTCCCCTTCACCTGCTCCAACAGTTTATAGATGAGTTGGATGTTGGGGTGGACCAACTCATAGCCCTGGTTCTGGGCCTGGGTGGTAGCTAGCTTGGTCAGCTCCCTAGCTAGCTCAACCGATGCATCCTAGAGCAAGGAGTTGGCCCTCAGATCCAGGTCCCCCTCACTCATTTCGCCAGGGCCAGCTCTACCGTTTGCCCAGGCAAGGTGCAGAGCCCTCTCTCCTGACTGCTGTAGGGGGCATATGGGGCAGGGGATGGGGTCAGCTCTTCTGCTCTCGGGGCTGGCTCACCTTCGACCCCAACAGGGTCAGCTCTAGTGTGCTGATTATGGCTGTTCCTAACAGAAGAACAAATGAATGTGACTGGTTGGACTGAAAGGCTTGCATCTCGGTTGACAATAGTGGGATGCTGTGGGATGGTCTGTATGTCAAATGTGTTGCTCTGATTGGTCAATAAATAAAACACTGATTGGCCAGTGGCCAGGCAGGAAGTATAGGCGGGACTAACAGAGAGGAGAATTAAGAGAACAGGAAGGCGGAGGGAGACACTGCCAGCCGCCACCATGACAAGCAGCATGTGAAGATGCCAGTAAGCCACGAGCCACGTGGCAAGGTATAGATTTATAGAAATGGGTTAATTTAAGATATAAGTGTTAGTTATTCGGCTGCACTGTGTTCTTACCTTGCAAGGAAATGTCACGAAACATGACAGAATCCGCTAATAAGAGTTTTATTAAAGATAAAGGGACAGAGAGTGAACAGGCCTGCGGGAAACACGTGTGTGGAGAAGAAGAAGGAACCGGGAACATGGCGCTGGATTTTAAAGGTTGGGTGTGGACAGACCAACGACACTACTACACGCAAGCGCACAAATCACATGGCCACGTTGCACGCCTACATAGCCAATGGAATGTCTCGTATCCTGGTCACTCGAGATGCCCTGACCCGGAAATGGCATATGCGTACACGCCCGACTGTGGGGGCGTGTTATAAACGCTTCAATAAAAACAGTTAACAAGAAGCCTGCCACAGCCATACAGTTTGTAACCAGTATAAGTCTCTGTGTCTACT